TGCTTACTAATGGCCGGGCGCGGTGGCTCATGCCTGTAATCCCAGCACTTTGGGAGGCTGAGGCGGGTGGATCGCTTGAGGTCAGGAGTTCGAGACCAGCCTGGCCAATATGGTGAAACCCCGTCTCTACTAAAAATGCAAAAATTACCCTGGCGTGGTGGTGAAAGCCTGTGATCCCAGCTATCCGGAGGCTGAGGCACAAAAATCACTTGAACTTGGGAGGTGGAGGTTGCAGTGAGCTGAGATTATGCCACTGCATTCCAGCCTGGGCAACAGAGCAAGAGTCTGTTTCAAAAAAAAAAAAAAAAGGTTACTAAGTGGCAGTGGTAGCTGTGATGCTATAGATGCTCCCCTAGCCCTAGCCCAGCCCCTCCTAAATAGGGAGACCCAAGATTCTGTAGCTTCTGGCCCAATCCCTCATGGCCCCAGAGCGCTGCTGGGCCTCCTGACCCTCTGTCTCCCCAGACAGCACCCAAGAAAACCTCATTTGGCTCGCTGAAGGATGAAGACCGGATCTTCACCAACCTGTACGGCCGCCATGACTGGAGGTGAGACAGTGCCCTTCGTGTGTTGGGTCCCGGAGCAAGGCGTCCCCTTCACTGCCTTCCCTACTCTGTCCAGGCTGAAAGGTGCCCTGAGTCGAGGTGACTGGTACAAGACAAAAGAGATCCTGCTGAAGGGGCCCGATTGGATCCTGGGTGAGATCAAGACATCGGGTTTGCGGGGCCGTGGAGGCGCTGGCTTCCCCACTGGCCTCAAGTGGAGCTTCATGAATAAGCCCTCAGATGGCAGGTGTGTGCTGGGGAGTGGGGCAGATGTGACTGTGGGAGAGACCTTAGGGGTGGCTGGGGCTTCCCTGGACCTTTGGGCTCTTTAATTAAAAACAGCATGAATGAGGTGGGCACATGTTCCCAGGCCTTAAATGGATGGGACTTACTCTGTGGACTTCCACAGGGGAGACTTACGTAGCAGAATCAACACATGATTTTGACTTAGGCAGACTTTGTTCAAATCCTAGTTCTGCCTCCTAATCATAGAGCTTTGGGCAATTTCCCGGCCTTTGTGAACCTTAGCTTTTTTGTAAATAGGTACAGTGATACCATGCAAGGATTAAAGAGATAATGTTCATACAGCTTTTGGCCTGTATGCTGGTTGGCACATAAAGCAAATGATAAATGTCACCTGCTTTACCTCCTTTTGGTGGTAGAGCTTGAGGAATGCTCTTTGTCACCAAGAGCAGAATCTGGCTCTCAGGGGCAGACACAAGGAGAGATGTTTGGATGAGCCGAATGAAGACCTTTCTTGTGGTTATAGCTGCCCAAAGATAGAATAGGCAGTAAGCTCCCTGTCATTTGGTGGTGAGCAAGCAGAGCCCCTGGGACATGTTGGGAGGGCAGTGAAGGATTGGCTGTCTGAGGAGACATCGTTGAGGCCTCCCTGGGTGGAGTGGGGTAGCATGGAGTTGAAGACCCAGCCCTGGTGGCCCTGTAGCCTGTCTGACCTGTGGGCCCCTGCAGGCCCAAGTATCTGGTGGTGAACGCAGATGAGGGGGAGCCAGGCACCTGCAAGGACCGGGAGATCATACGCCATGATCCTCACAAGCTGGTGGAAGGCTGCCTGGTTGGGGGCCGGGCCATGGGCGCCCGCGCCGCCTATATCTACATCCGAGGGGAATTCTACAATGAGGCCTCCAATCTGCAGGTGGGCAGGGAGAGACGTGGGCAGATGAGAAGGTGCTCAGTGTGCACTTACACACCCCTCACCCAGCACAGTTGTTCTGAGGTGTTAGCACCTGGTCTCTCAATGGTTGAACTGGGGGAGTGGTGGCCAGTCTTGCATGCATCCCTAATGGGACTTGGCTCCCAAAGCCACCTTCCAGGGCTCCTAATGCTGCTGGTATGATTTTTTTTTTTTGCTTCAAAAATAATAGTATTTATTATAACAAGTAGCAAGAAGAACATAAGTGGAACTATGTGTTTAGCAAGAGAGCTGAATAATTATGAATATAAATAATTCCTATTTGGGGAAAATACATTATGTTCATTGCTTGGAACTATGAATAATACTTATATCTGTAGGAAATACAGAAAAATAAAATAGGTTAAGGCAATAAGGATATAGGCAATTACATTTTTATTTTAATTTTTTTTTTTTTTGAGACGGAGTCTCGTGCTGTCACCCAGGCTGGAGTGCAGTGGCCGGATCTCAGCTCACTGCAAGCTCCGCCTCCCGGGTTCACGCCATTCTCCTGCCTCAGCCTCCCGAGTAGCTGGGACTACAGGCGTCCGCCACCTCGCCCGGCTAGTTTTTTGTATTTTTTTTTTTTTAGTAGAGACGGGGTTTCACCATGTTAACCAGGATGGTCTCGATCTCCTGACCTCGTGATCCGCCCGTCTCGGCCTCCCAAAGTGCTGGGATTACAGGCTTGAGCCACCGCGCCCGGCCTTTATTTTAATTTTATAAAGACTTTTATTTTTCCTTACAAACTGGGGTAGTTAGGAGACCTGATAATAGCTACTTCACTTTTATTTTCCTGGCAGCAAAGCAGCTTACTTACGTGTTCCTTCTTGCATATCTGTTGCAGATTATAGTCAAGTTTTCCAATTTGTCTAGCAAAATTTTTTATACCAGGAGCATTAGGATCCTCACCGTAGGAGGCCTTCAAGGGCTTCATGACTCCTGAAGTTATAGGCTGACCCCTGGGCTGGGGGTCAGCTGGGAAAGTCACACCTTTGTCCTGCAGGTGGCCATCCGAGAGGCCTATGAGGCAGGTCTGATTGGCAAGAATGCCTGTGGATCTGGCTATGATTTTGACGTGTTTGTGGTGCGCGGGGCTGGGGCCTACATCTGTGGAGAGGAGACAGCGCTCATCGAGTCCATCGAGGGCAAGCAGGGCAAGCCCCGCCTGAAGCCCCCCTTCCCTGCAGACGTGGGTAAGGCCTGGCGTAACCCTGGGTCAGACTGTGTCCTGTGACACCTGGGATCTGGCTAGGTTCCCTTCGAATTGTTCTTATGGATTTCTGAGTGCCTTCCCGGCTGGGGTCAGATAAAGAGTAGGCTGGCAACAATACACAGGCTCCCCCAGGGCTGCCTGCAGTCCCTCCTCCTGCCTCGGTCCCCCCACACCCATGCTGCTCTGTGGCTCCACCTTCACAGTGCCTGTTCTGAGGCTAAGGGCATGGTGGTGAACAAGGCAATGAGGCATCTCTGGAGTTTGGGGTCCAGCAGGGATAAGAATGATAAGGGGATATTAGAGCAGGGGTTCTGCCATGGGAGCAGGACCCTGGGACACACCTCCCTGCCAGGAAACTTGCCACACCCACTAGCAGCCACCAGTTGTCTTCCCATTTTCCTGAAGGAGTGTTTGGCTGCCCGACAACTGTGGCCAACGTGGAGACAGTGGCAGTGTCCCCCACCATCTGCCGCCGTGGGGGCACCTGGTTTGCTGGCTTTGGCAGAGAGCGCAACTCAGGCACCAAACTATTCAACATCTCTGGCCATGTCAACCACCCTTGCACTGTGGAGGAGGAGATGTCTGTGCCCTTGAAAGAACTGATTGAGAAGCATGCTGGTAAGGCCTGGGGCCAGCCAGGATGTGGGTGGACAGGTGTCCATGAAGAGAGCCTGAGCGGGAGGGCTCAGGAGACGGGGCTGGGTCTAGGGGCTGACTAAGGGCCTGGGGTCAGGACTAGGCAGGTGTGCCGGCCCCAGCCCTGACCATGCATCCCTTTGGGGACTGACTTGGGGCCCCAGGGGGTGTCACGGGCGGCTGGGACAACCTCCTTGCTGTGATTCCTGGTGGCTCGTCTACTCCACTGATCCCCAAGTCTGTGTGTGAGACGGTGCTGATGGACTTCGACGCGCTGGTGCAGGCACAGACAGGCTTGGGCACAGCTGCGGTGATCGTCATGGACCGCTCGGTAAGGGTTCACACACCAGCCCCAGTCCCTGCCCTCCTGGTTGCTGTCTTCCTCCCTGGGCCTCCCAGAAAACCCTCTTGCCAGCACTCAGGTCTTAGTTCCTGCAGCCTGAGGTAAAGCAAGGTGGAAGAGGAGGGAGGAAGGCCGCTCTGAGGAGAATACCCCGGAGTCTGGGCAGCACAGGGGGCCCAGGGAGGCTGGAGGAGGCCAGAATGCTGGGTGGGCTGGGAAGAGCTTCTGGAACTGGGGGAGGGGCTGTCACTAGGGGGTTGAGGCCCAGGCTTCTGTCTGGCCGTGGGTGCCTGCTGATTGCCCCTTGTCACCCAGACGGACATCGTGAAAGCCATCGCCCGCCTCATTGAGTTCTATAAGCACGAGAGCTGTGGCCAGTGCACCCCATGCCGCGAGGGTGAGCAGCGGGCAGGCTGGGGGTTTGCTTGCCGTGGCTTCACTTAACCTCCACCCCACCATGTGGCCTGCACCCCTCAAGCACCATCCCACATCCTGGCTGGGGAGATCATCTGGCCCTCTCTTGTGGCTGTGGCTGCAGGTGTGGACTGGATGAACAAGGTGATGGCTCGTTTCGTGAGGGGGGACGCCCGGCCGGCCGAGATTGACTCCCTGTGGGAGATCAGCAAGCAGATAGAAGGCCACACCATTTGTGCTCTGGGTGACGGGGCTGCCTGGCCTGTGCAGGTATTCACCGCCCTTCTGCGTAGCGCGGAGGGTGGGTGGCATCAAGGGCCCAGGGTGTTGGGGGATTTTTGGACTCTGTTTCACACAGTCCCCCCACCAACCCCAGGGTCTGATCCGCCACTTTCGGCCGGAGCTTGAGGAACGGATGCAGCGGTTTGCCCAGCAGCATCAGGCCCGGCAGGCTGCCTCTTAGCCCACCACCCTGGCCTGCTGTCCTGTGTCTGTCCGTCTGGAATGCTGGACAATAAAGCGAGTGCTGCCCACCCTCCCGCTGCAGCTGCTGTGACTGTGCTCTTTACCCTTTACCCAGCACCGGATCCTCAAGGGTGGGAGGGGAGAACAGGGCCCAGTCTGCCTCGTGGCCAGAGGAAGGACAGGGTCTCGTCTGGCTTGAAAGAGATGTTTATTTCGGCTCCATGATTTGGGGGGGCGGTGAATGTGAAAGCGGGGAGAGAGGAAACACCTCTCTGACTTGGGACTGGGGGGCGTGATGGGTGAGGCAGCCCCAACCTCCATCATTTTTGTGGGGACACTTTAGGCAGCTGTAGTGGAGGGGCGGCAGGCAGGGCCCCTGGGCTAGTTGCTGAGCTGGACAGGCTTGCTGTCCAGTGGGTGCCACAGCTCCAGGCGGTGGTCACTGTGGCCCAGGCACTCAAGCCAGTGCCGCAGGCGCTCCCCACTGGCATGGCTGCCCAGCTGTACCCCGCCTGCCATGGGGGATGGGTCAGGAACCGCCAGTAGCCTACTGGGCCCCCACCCCAGCTCCTCATGTTCCCACTCACCAATGAAGTCATCAGCCGTGCCCAGGTCATAGTCCCACACAGACACTAGCAGCGTCTTCTGGGCCAGCTCCTCCCGTGGGCCTGAGTAGAAGAATTCCTGCAGGGAGAAGGGCAGAGAGGTGGGAAGGAGGCAGCCTTGGCTCTCCCAAAGTTTAAGAAGCAGGCCTCAGCAGGGGAGTGGCTCAGCATGTCAAGGCCAGGGTTGGCTGGGACCTGCCTGGTCCTGGCTCACCTCATTGAACTCGGGGTTCAGGGTCTTCCTGCGAACACTGGTCTTGAATTTAGATTTCTTCCCTGCATTTGGATGCAGGAAACTGATCGGGGAGGATTGGCAGGTTAGGTGTGGCCCTGGAGAGGTGAGGAGCCACCGTCTTGTCCTCACCTCCCACCTGCCCACCCCATTCACTCACAGGCACACAAAGGGGTCCGAGTAACCATTGGCATCCATGGGGGCCAGGTGGACGCAGCGCAGCACACCCACCAGCAAGCCACCCCGCTGAGAGCTGTAGCACAGTGACAGCAGGACGCGCCCATGTTCCTCCCAGGCCACCTCTGTCTCCACCTCCTCCTGCAGGTGTAGGCTGAGGTCAGCCCCCATCCAGCCCAAAGCCCAGCCCCTTTAGCCTTCGCGCTCTGGGCAGGAAAGCTCAACCTGGCCCCAAAGAAATCAGGGGCAATGGCTTCATTTCCCAATACAGCCACTCGCACAGTGCCGTGGAAGCGGTCCTATGGGTCAGCTGTACCCTCCAGGGCCTGATCAAAGGTGAGGCTTGCTGACCACATGACCAGTCAGATACGTCTGTCATGGAGGGGAAGGGAACTGGCTGACATGCCAGGAGCTCCCTAAGTGGTCTCCCATCCGGTGCCCGTAGCCATCCCTGTAGGCAAGTGGCTCTGAGAGGATGTTCACTTCCCAAGGAGAAGCAGATCTCTTCAAAACCCCACCCTCTTCACCCCTTACTTCTCTGGGGACCAGATTCTGAGTGTTCTTTGCCACACTCTGGGCCCTGGTGCTTCTGAACAGGCTCAGGGAGGAAGCCCCAGGAGGATGTGCTGCTCTCACCTGCAGGGTAGGTTTCCCTTTGCAGAAAGCCCCACCACCTTGTTCACAGGCGGCTCTCAGGAATGCGGGAGTGCTCTGTGAGCACCCACCATGCTCTGGGTGCTGTTGTGCTTGGGATCTGGGGCAGAGGGTACACAGGGCTGGCGCTGGGAGAAGTGGCCTGTTCGTGCCACCTTGGTGGGCCTCAGCCACTTGGGCTTAGCTAATCAACAGCTGCAGCAACTTGTGGTTCCACCAGAGGGCAGGGCACCCGGCACTTTGGGGAGGAGCTGGTAGGGGGCCCTGCTGTCAGCATCCCAGCTGCCTCCCCCACTGACCACAGGGGTTCTAGCTAGGTCTTTGGTCTCCAGTGGCGTCAAAGAAACCTCTGCAGTCACCCTCACTGCCTCCGGACAAGGGCCTGTCTAGGACGGCCTGCCCCAGGAGTGGTCCCCACACTCCCCTCAGGGCCAGACCCCACCCAGTGAGCCCCGCCCGTCTGTCTTCTCTTCCACCTTGCCCAGCCTCCCATCTCAGGCCACGGATAAATGCCGCCAGTTGCAGCCTCTGCCTCAAGGCAGGTGTCTGCCCGGCTGTGCCCCCAAGGGCTCTGCTTGTCCCAGTGCCCCACAGCTCCTCTGGGCTGCCCTGGCAAGGGAGTCACCCTCACTTTGCCATTGGGGACCTGGCTGTCCCCTGGGACAATGAGGGCTCACAGGGCCTGTGAGAGCTGGCCTCAGGTTCCTCCAAGCCCCCTACGCCCCTGCCACCAGGCTTGCCCCCTCATCCCTGTTCAGCCCAGCCGTCCTACCCACCTCATAGAGGGACATGCCGCGGGCTGTGTCCAGGCTCTTGGGCCTCTTGGCCTGAAAGGGAAGAGAGCCTGGTCATCCTGGCCAGATGCTGCCCAGGTCCCCCTCCCTATTCCTCCCCTCTAGCTCCCATCACAAGATTCCTGGCCCCTGTGCCCCACCCTGTGCTCCAGCCCCACTTACCAGCCTCCGCTTCTCCAGATAGATGTTGAAGCTCCTGGCTCGGTTTGGCACCAGCTTCCTCAAGGGCACCTGCAGCTCCCCTAGGGGAGGTGCCCGCCGCCGTCGCCGCAGCCATGGGTCCTCACACACACACAGCCTGGTGGCCGCCCAGGTCAGACCTGGCCAGGCCAGCCCCATCCCTCTGCTCCACCCCCAGGTGGCCCAGGCTGGATCCTCACCTAAGGGTCTTGCACACAGCATCCTGGCGGGTGAAGCCGTGATAGGTGAGCGTCTCCTCCCAGACAGGTACCCTCGTACCTCGAATGGTGCGTGTCTGAAGCTGGCTGGCCTAGGGCCCAAGCAGGGTGGGTCAGGGCCTCCTAGGGTTAAGACCATCCTCCAACCCCCTACCCTGCCTCCCTGGTAGGACCTCCCACTATTTGCACATCCCAGCAACTGGGACCCAGGCCTTGGGGGGTGGGGAGGAGCCAAGCAGAGCCAGGTGGGTGCCGCAGGCTGGATGTTCCACCAGAGGGCAGCAGTGGGGGCCTGGGGCTTGCCCTCACCTTGCTGTTCCCTGGCAGCAGATTCGCTTTGACATAGGTGTCCACGGAACCTGAGGCCAACGGCTTGAGGCCCTGGGAACAGACAGTGGGTATGAGATAGGCCTGTGGCCCAGCCCTCTGTCCCAGGGACGCCCACCCCCATCCTCACCTTGGCACGATGAGCTGTGCAGTGCAAGGCACTGTTGTCCGCATCAAAAAGAAGTGTGAACTCCAGGGTGGCCAGGGCAGCTAAAGGCAGGTGGCAGGCAGGGTCACCTCCTACCTCAGCTCAATCTGCCCCCACCCATGGCACATACCTCCTGCCTTGCCCCTCCACGGCCAGATGGCAGGGACACCCCAATGCCTCTCCTGGCTGGACTGAGCTCAGGGTGTCCCCTCCTCCCGCCCCTACTCACTGCTGTCGTCTGAGTCTCTCTCTGGCTCTGGGTCGGGCTGCGGCTGGGGTGCAGAGCGGATGGTAGACGCCGCCGCGGGGCGCTGGTCCGGAGGGTGCAGGGTAGGCTCCGTCAAAGGGTAAAAGTGCGGGAAGTAGTGGGAGATGAGGCGGATGGGCCGGATGGGGCCCGGGCTCACATCGATGGCCATGTGCTCCTGCATGCTCACCCGGGGAGGCCGCCCACCTGCTGCCGCCGTGCCCGCCATGGGGACCCCGACGGGGGGCGGGGACTCAGAGAAATGCCTGAGGACTGGGGCGGGGGGGCAAGCATCGCTGATACCATGCAGGGGACCTGAGGACAGAGCGCAGGGTTGGGGGAGGGGCCGGGGGAGTCCCCAGCCTGGAGGGTCGTGGCAGGCTTTGGAGGGGACTGGGTGTGTCGGGAGTCAGTCCAGCTCCCAGTCCTTACCGCTTTGGGAGCTACTTCACCCAGTGTGAGTCACTGCTGCTGGCAATGGGTGTGCACTCTCGGGGGTAGAGCCCGTGACTGCTGTGTCCCCAGTGAGCGAGGGTGACCCAGAGCTCAGAACCCTCCCAGAGCTCTTTCCTAGCTCTGGGGCTCAGCTTCCCTCCTTCCTCTGCCCCCTTCACACTTTGTCAAAGGGAGTTATTTTTACCACCATCATGTGGCTCTGCTCCCAGGTGAGAAGGCTGGAGGCCCGGAGGTGACAGAGGGCTGTGGAGGTGATAAGTGGTTAGTGGGAAGGAGGGAGCGCATAGGAGGAGGGGAGGGGGTGCATGGGAAAGTGGGAGGGGAGCCACAGGAAGGGGCCCCTGTGATTGAGCCCTGCGGGGGTGGCCAGTTTATACTCTGAAACATGAACCAGATCATCCCACCTCCACCCCTGCTTGGAATAAAATCCGAACCCTTTGATGAGGCGCAACCCCTTTTCACCTCACCAAGGAGTGTCCCCTTGGCATCTCACAGTGAGGGCCCACTCCCCTCCCAAACTGGGCCACTCCTACTCACCTTTGGTTTCTGGGTCACCCCCTGCAGGGGATCTTGGCTGGTTTTAATCATCCAGCATTCCCTCTCCTCTCTTCTCCCCAGTTATTCTTTTAATTTTTAATCAACATAACCATAGATATTTATGGGGTACAATATGATGTTCTGATGTGATATATGTAGAAATGTGATTTCTACAATATGCATTGTAGAAAGATTCAGTCAAGCTAATGAAAAAAGAACACTTAAAATGTACTCTTTAAACAACTGTGAAATACACAAGGTGCTATTGTTAGGGATATTTGCCATGCTGTGCAATAGGGCCTTCAGCTTACTCTTCCTGACTGGAACTTTGTACCCTAAGAGCAATGTCTCCCCTCTCCCCATCCCTAGTCCCCTACTTTCCAGCTCCTGGTGACCACCATTCTCTCTGCTTCTAGGAGTTCAACTTTTTCAGATTCCACATAAAAATCAGACCGTATAGTATTCGTCGTTCTGTGCCTAGCTTACTTCACTTAGCATATCGTCCTCTGGGTTCATCCATGTTGTCACAAATGATAGAATGGCCATCTCTGTTAAGGCTGAACAGTGTAGACACGCCATCCTATCCATCCGTCTGATGCTGGGCAGTCGGGTTGCTGCCGTGTCTTAGCTGTTGTGAATGGCACTGCACTGAACATGGAGGCAGACACCTCTTCAGCATGCTGACTTCAATTCCCGTGGATACCATCCACAAGTGGGGTTGCTGGATCACATGGTACCTCTATTTTTGGTGTTCTAAGGGACTGCCATATGATTTTCCAAAATGGTTGCGCTCATTTCCCTTCCCACCGATAGCACGTAAGGCTTCCCTTTCCTCCACATCCTCACGAGCATCTGTTATCTCCTATGGTTTGGTAGTAGCCTTTCTAACAGGTGTGAGGTGGTATCTCATTGAGATTTTCACTTGTATTTCCTGCACGATTAGCGATGTTAAACATTTTTTCATGTGTCTGTTGAGAAATGTATGTTCAGGTGCTTTGCCCATGTTTAAATTCGGATATTTGTTTCTTGTTATTGAGTTCCTTGTTTCTTTTGGATATTAGCCCCCTTATCAGGTGTATGGTTTACAAAGATTTTCTCCCATCCTGTAGCCTCGCTCCTCACTTTGTTGTTTCTTTTGCTGTGCAGAAGCTTTTTAGTTGGGTGCCATCCCATTTGTCTATTTTTACTTTTTTTTTTTTTTTTTTTGAGACGGAGTCTCGCTCTGTCGCCCAGGCTGGAGTGCAGTGGCCAGATCTCAGCTCACTGCAAGCTCCGCCTCCCAGGTTTACGCCATTCTCCTGCCTCAGCCTCCCAAGTAGCTGGGACTACAGGCGCCTGCCACCTCGCCCGGCTAGTTTTTTGTATTTTTTAGTAGAGACGGGGTTTCACCGTGTTAGCCAGGATGGTCTCGATCTCCTGACCTCGTGATCCGCCCGTCTCGGCCTCCCAAAGTGCTGGGATTACAGGCTTGAGCCACCGCGCCCGGCCTATTTTTACTTTTGATGCCTTTGCTTTTGGGGTCCTATCCAAGAAATCATTGCCCAGACCAATGTCTAGAACTTTCCCCATATGTTTCCTTCAAGTAGTGTTACCATTGCAGGTTTTTGGTTTTTTTTTCCCCTTTAAGATAGGATCTCACTCTGTTGCCCAGGCTGGAGTGCAGTGGCACAATCTCAGTTCACTGCAGCCTCTGCCTCCTGGGCTCAAGCGATCCTCCCATCTCAGCTTCTTGAGTAGCTGGGACTACAAGCATGCACCACCATGCCTGGCTAATTTATTTGTATTTCTGTACAGACAGGGTTTCACTACATATGACCAGGCCAGTCTTGAACTCCTGAAGTCACGGTGGCCCGCCTTGGCCAACCAAAGTGCTGGGATTACAGGCATGAGCCACAGAGTCCAGTTCGCTTCAGGTTTTATAGCCCATTTTGAGTTGATTTTTGTATAAGGTGTGAACCTCAGTTGTTCTTTGGGAACCACTGCTTCTCAGTCCAGGGAGTTCACCCTCCTACCCAGGCAAGCATCCCAGACTCTATCTATCAATGTATTGTAAATCCAACTGGCCATGTGACAGGCTCAGGGAAGGACATGTGACTCAAGACAGGCCAGTGAGGTGCACTTCTGGGTTAGACTGGCCGGGCGGAGTGGCCATGTTTTCTGTTGATGGATGCTGCTGCCCTCTCCTCAACCTCTCACACTCTGCACTAGAGACAACCTCCCCAGGGCTGAGGCCAGCACAGTGCAAAGCACAGCAAGAAGAGAGCCCCTGAGCCCCTGAGCCCCTGGATCCAGCCATCCTGCCATGGCAAGTTCAGACCACCCACTCCCTCAACTCTTTCACAGAACCCTGGTCTACCTAGTTGACATCTTATGTAATTCCACTATTATCTGTGATTAATTAATGTGGAATCACATGATTATCTGTGTGACCTGGTCTGAGGTCTCCGTTAGACTGAGCACCCCCTCTGGAGGGCAGGTCAGCATCTGACTGGTCCACAGCTATGGCCCCCACACAGCAGCTGGCACACACAGGGGCTCTGTATGTTAGACCCCTGCAGTAACACCCAGGGGCATGCGTGCACTTTACTCCTCTCTGGGATCCCGGAGCCCAGCACAGGGTCAGCCAGGCACAGCAGAGAGAACAGGAGGTGCAGGCTGAGACACGGGCAGTGCATGCCTAAGAGTCTGGGCTGTGGAGTCTGACAGCCCTGGTTCCAGTGCCAGCCTGGGGTCCTTAGGCAAGGTGTCTATCCCTCCCGAAAGCAGTCTCACCAGCCAGAGACAGTGCTGGCCCCGCCTTATGGGCTGTTGTGAGGGTGAGATGAATTGACTTCGAGTACTTGGCACCCAGGAAGTGTCCACTGCTGTGGGGAACGGCGTGACTGGAAGGAGGAGCCCCAGCCAGCAGCCTGGAGTGGTCTGCCCAATGTCAAGGCCCCAGCACAGGACAAGCAGGAGCTCTAGAGCTGTCAAAGGCCTTTATTCAGTCCTGAAGTGGAGCTGGCCTGGCAGGGTGAAACCAGGGGCTGCTGAGGGTGGGCCAGGCCCTCAGCCCCTGGCCAGCTCAGGCCGGCCAGGCGGGGCTGGTAGGTACCAGGTGCCAGCAGCTGCAGGGCAAACTCGGTGATGACAGCTGTGAGGCCCCAGACCCGGTGTGGTCCATGCAGGAAGACAGGTAGTGTGTAGCGGAAGTGGCCACGCTGGCAGAAGTGGGTATAGCCCTGATTCTGCGTCTGCAGCAGGTGGGCTAGCGGGAGTGCAAATACCTCATCCACCTGCAGGCAGGAGGCAGAGAGGGTAGACAGAGAACTGGAACAGTCCAACCCCTCACATCCCCCAGCTCACCTCCTCCGAGTTGGGCCTGAGGCTCTGGGGATCCAGTGGGCCCACACCAGCAAGCACTGGCACCACGGTGGCCTTTTGCTGGGGAAGAGGGCAGGCGGTCAGGGAAGCATGGCTTCAGTTGGGTTTGAAGGCTGGGGAGGGGAGTGTGAGAGGAAGACCCCCTTTGCCATGCACAGGCCTTAGGTAGTGATGTTCAGGTCCACCTGCCTGTGTCCTCCAGCCATGCCGACTGACTCAGGTCTCCTCAAATGCACTAGACCTGTTCCCTCTGCTTAGGACAATCTCCCACTTGGCATTCAAGCCCAGGTTCAATCCCTGCCTACCCCATGAAGCCTCCCTGACCCTAATCCACCAAGCTGAGCAGAGATGGCCCACCCCGTCGCCCTGGGCCACCTCTACTCAGGACACCAGAGCTTCCCCAATCTCTTCCCAAGGGGTTGTGTGGGGTGGCGCATGTGACCAGGCAGGTTAGGGGCACCCCTCCACACTTTGTGCCTGTGGGGGTCCATGACCACTCTCCTGGTCCGTGGGGGCCTAGCTCCAGGGCAGGCACAGAGTGAGTGAATGAGGGGGCGGTGGCCTCAGCCAGGTGGCTTACCGGATCATACACAGGCCGCAGCAGGCCCCACACGTGCTCCTCGGGCACTGCCAGGCCCAGTTCCTCCTGGGTTTCCCGCAGGGCCGTGTGCACCACGTCTTGGTCAGCCGGGTCGCACTTGCCGCCTGGGAAACTAAACAGACACAGGGAGTCTGATCCTTGGACTCTTAGGGCCATGGAGAGGTCGGGGTGTCGGCAGTGCGGGGGGCCAGTGGCCCACCAAAGCATCGCCTGCCTCTGCTCCTAGTTTGCTGGGAAGCCCCAGGCAAGCCACACGACCTCTGGAGGCCAGTTTATCTCCCTGAGCAATGGCGATAAGGAAGAGAAGCCCGGGGCAGCGCAGGACAAGAGGGTCTGCAGCAGGAGCAAGAAGATCCTGGGGCTCAGATACCCAAATTCGGCCTATGGTGGCCCCAGTAGCACTGACATTGTCCTCGGGGACTATGTCCTCAAATCCCGCCGGGCGGGGCCCGAACCTCTCCGTAGTCGCCGGCAGGGGGCGGCGTCCGCGTTCTTAGCGGGAAACAGCTCAGAGGGGTGTCCCCGGCTGAGGCGTGCGCGCAGGGACTGGCACGAGGGGTCTAAGCGGTGAGGGCGTGGCGCCCAGGCAGGTGCACTGGAGCCGAGGCACACGGATCGCTGATCCCTCGCCGCAGCCCGTGGGCGTAGGGGCTCTCTCCAGACCCATTTTACGGAGGCGGAAACCGAGGCTCGAAGGGGCTAAGTGCCCTGCCCGAGGTCCCTGCCAGCCGCGGCCTCCGGCAAAGGGCAAAGAATTCCTGGCCGCTGTACCTGACGTCGCCCTTGTGCCTCCCGGTCAGGCGGCTGGACCGCAGCGTATACAGCAGAGCCGGGACCCCGCGCACTGAGCAGAGCGGCACGAGCACCGCGGCCGACGCGGGCCGTGCGCGGAGTCGGGCCGTGGCCCCCGCCAGCAGCCGGCGGCAGCGCAGCTCGCCCTCGGCCGACAGGCAGTCGGGCAGCATGCCGAGTCCTGCGCGGCCGTGACGCGGAGGGCGCGGGGTCGAGCGAGGGAAGAGGCGGAGCGGGGCGGGGCAGGATGGGGCGGGGCGATCAGCCCGGGTCCCTCCGGAAGCTGAGAGGGAGAAGGGGCCACCCGCCCGACGCGTCCAGCCCGGGGGGCTGCGGAGCGGCAGCAGTGTTGGGGGGCCTCGGTGGGACTGGGTCTGTTCCGGGGCGGGGCCTGTCCGGAGACAGGGTCTCGGTGGGACTGGGTCTGTTCGAGGGCGGGGCCTGTTTGAAGGCGGGGCCTCGGTGGGACGGGGTCTGTTAGGGGGCGGGGCCTTGTAGGCAATCGACGCTGGGGCGGCCTGAGGGCGGGGCCTGGACTGGAGTTTTTGCTAAGAAGGACTAGGGGGAGCGAGGGGGCGGCTCGAGGTGGAGGGCGTGGCCGGAAAGGCGTGTCCCGGCGGACTGTGCTACCGGCAGGGCCGGGCCGGGGCCGGGGGCGGGGCCGGGGGCGTGGCCGCGGGGAGGGAGGTGGGCGCGGAGGTGGAGGACTTGCCGGGTGTGTCCTTCGAGATCCTGGAACCGCGCGAACCGTGAAGCGCCCGGCGACCGTCCTCGGTCCCGTTGGGTCCTGGCGTTGGGGTGTCTGATGAGGCCTCGCCGGCCCCCGCTGGTCCGTCCCTCCCCTAGGGGCTCCAGGATGTGCGGAGCTGGGATTCCACGGGAACGCCCCTCTAGGACCCCGAGGTCGATCGGTGCACGAGAGGAGCGTCCGGCCTAGCCCTCCCTCTGGTGCTCCCTCCCGGTGCCGCTGAGTGGCGTGCGCCGCTCCCAGTCTTGTCTTCCCCTCAGGCTCCTTCGGACTCCAGCCCAGGCCTTTGATCTCCTTGTCCCAGCGTCCAGAGCTCTTCTCCCTGCCTTGAGTCTTGACCGGATTCCCAAATCCCTCCCCCGTCCCTTCCTCGGCTCCTGTGATCACTGACCACCGTGGTTCCGCACCCTTCCACCAGACCCTGGGCTTGGGGACCAGATGACCCCAGCCTTGCACACAGTATTTAAACGTGGGGTGGCGGGTGTCCGCCATGCCCTGCTGTGTGACTTTGAGCAGATCCCGTGCCTCTCTAAGCGCCAGTTTCGATCCTCATCTGGGCAAGTGCAGCCCTGCCACTGGGCTGGAGTCACCACTTTTAATATCACTGTGTGCTCCCAGGGATGCGGACGGCACTGAGCAGAGCTTCGGGATGCCTACACAGGGCTGATGTGGGGACTGTGATGGGTCTGGGAGTTCCTGAGGGCCCCGCCTTGACCACGAGGACGGAAGTGCTCTGACCACTCGTGCCAAATAGTTTAATGTTAGGGGGAAGAGAGAGGTAAGGCAGGGTTTTTGGGAGTTACCCCCAAAGCAAGAGGGCACAGTATTCAGGCTGCTGGGGTTGGGAGGTAGAAGGCCTGGTTCCAAGCTTGCCATGGTCTCAGCCTTGCTGTGACCCTGGGCAGGTAGTCTCTTTCTGTAGACTTTCACCTACTCTGCTGTCCTTGAGACAGAGGTGGGGCTGGACGGGGTGGGGCAGAGGCTGATTCCCACGCTGGGTGTAAGGTCCAGGGTAGCAGGACTTCCCCACAGGGCTTCTGCCATCACTGGGAGTCCTGGCCAGGCCCCAGGCACACCACAGTGGGGGACAGGAGCCCCAGCCCAGCTGGGAGAGGCAGGCCTCCTTGATCACTATCAGCCCGGATGTTGGGGAGGGGGTATGGTGCCGGTCGGGTCCTTGGGATCCCTAGGTGGTTTGAGGCTCCAGAGTACAGGCTCTGATAGGTGACAGGCCTGTAGGTGGCTGGGGCCAGCAGGGCCTCAGATGGGGGCAGCAGCTGATGATGGAGCCGAGCAGGGGTCCTGGAGGTGGAAGCTGAAGCTTTGTTGGGGTCTGAGGGAGGAAATGGTCTGAGTGGACTCTGGGCCTCCCATCGTATCCTCAGCCCTCATCCCAGGCCTGCCCTGGTCCCTTCCTGCTCCTCCTTCCCAAGTTACCTACCTCTCAGCCTTTGTCCTTGCTTTTCGCTCTATCTGGAATTTCTTCTTCACCTTCTCCCTCTGTCCAAACGCTTCCCAGTCTTCCAAAGCCCAGTTTGGGAGCCACCTCCTGCAGGAAGCCCGCCTGGCACCCCCTGCCTGTGCTGTCTGTTCTGAGCCCCATATTGTCTTAGGCATGTTTGCTTCCCCCTCTGTGTCCACACAGGGGCCCTGTGGGTTTGCTGAGCTGCTCAAGCCCCTTCCTGGAGGTCCTGTCCCTTTGCTTCCCGCCCACCGTGTACGCCTTAGTCCCCCTGTCTGCAGGCCTGGAGCCTTACCTTTCTTCCTCTCTGTGGCGCCCTTCAGCAAACAGGGACTGAGGCTGCTGTGACTCCGGGCTGGGACACTGAGCAGGGGCTGTGGGGCCACAGGCCTGAAGATGGAGCAAGCAGGAATTGGGGGAGGGGATCAAGGGGAAGAACCCAGGCCAGGGATCATGGCCAGATTCAGATGGTGGGGCCCCAGGATGGGTCAGAGGGTGTGACCCTGAAACAAGGGTCAGGAACTGAGGCCTTAGGATATGCCTGGGGTTGGGAGTGAGGGGCTAGGGTCGGGGTCAGACAGTACCAGGAGTCCGGGTCACTCTCTCTAAAGCCCTTGGCAAAAGGGTTGCTGGCGATTTTCAGCTGGGTGATCTGCAGGAGACAAAGTGCAGTTGTGGGGCTGGCCCTGAGCCAGGCTCAGCCACCTTGTCTTCCCTGGCACCCGGTCCCCTTGGCCCAGGAACTCTGAGCTGATAGGAGTGCGGGCAGGGCCTTGACTGACAGCAGATGCTCAGGATAAGTGGGGAGGGCAGTAGTCTGTGCCAGTGAGGGCTGCAAGCCTCCGGGCTCAGTCTCCACCCCTGTGAAATGGGCCTGCAGCGGGTGCTCCCGAGCTGGTTCACCCACCCTGTGGTTCTGATAGGCCGTCACGGCTGTGAACTGGGTCTCCGTGAAGATGAAGGATTTGAAGTTCTCCTGGGCGTAGCGCTCACTGTCCTTGCGTGGGTCCACGAAGACCACGTGGAAACGGGGCTGGTAGCGGTGCATGGAGTTGAGAATGATCTGTGGAAGGGACAGAGCAGGGGTACGGGGGTGAGGCAGGCCGCAGCGGACTCCCTGAGGCTGGAGTCCTTCCCTCCAAGCTGGAGGCCTGCCCCGGGCCTACTGCCCTGTTCCTTTCATGGTGGCGCAGGGTCTGAGCTGGAAAGGCTGTGGTTCTGTGTTAAAGGCCCCTTGTGTTTGAGGATCCTTGCCTCCGTGTCCTCTCACACCCCACATCGCAGCTGCCACCCGCTGCCTGCGTGCCGGCCCGCCACTGTCACGTTCACTGGTTTCCTCGGTTGCCTCCTGGCCTGTCCTCTGTCCCCGCCTTACCCCTCTGTTTCTTCTCCACACAGCTGCCTAGGAAGCCACATCACATAGCCCCCTGCTCCTAACCTTCCAGCGACTTCCACCCCACACGGTAAAAGCCAGAGCCCCCAGCAGTCAGCCCCGGCCCCTCAGGCACTCGCCTCTTTGGCTTCCCCTCCTGGCTCCACTCCGGCCCCATGGGTGCCTCTTGCAGTTCTGCGGGCCCAGGATTCTCCGGACTCAGGGCCTTTGCACCTGCTGTCCCCTCTGACAGGCATGGGCCCCTCCGTCCCCACCTCCTTCAGGTCTTCAGCTCGCTGCACCCCCTGAGAGCAGCAGCACCCTTTCTCCGCCCCTTCCATAGCTCCGCTTTCTCTTTGGCATTTGTCCCTATCTGAGATGCTGGACACAGTGTCTTCTGGACCCTGCCCCTGCCCCAGGAAGTGACCTCTGTGAGGGCAGGGATTGTTGGCTCTTTGACCAAGTGTCAATGATGCTGTGTCCACACATATAGCGGCCTGGCCTAGGCTGGGCGTTCCATACATTGCCCTCCCTCTCCTTGTGGGGGACAACGTATGCTGGAACATTCCCCCGGCCCCACCCCCTTTTCCACCTGCCTGGACAGCCCTCCCTGCTGTGCCACCCCCACTCCCCGCCCAGCCTTGGCCAGCAGCAGGCCTAGGTGATGGTCACCAAGGCCATTGGGCACCAAGGGCCCCACCAGCCCTGACCCCAGGCCCTTCCGTCTCCGCCGTGGCCCGGGCCTCACGTGGCCATTGTCATCCAGCAGGTTGTTGGTCAGCTTGAGCTTGTCGAAGGACACGATCTGGCGCATCCACTGGGCGCCCTTGGCCGGTGAGTCAGGGTGGAAGTGCACGCGGCCGGGTGTGGCTGGGTCTGCCTTGCCCGCCACCAGCCAGGCCGAGCTGTGGAAGGCATACCTGGGGAGCACAGCGAGGTGGTGAGGGCTGCCCTAACCAGAGTCATACCTGAACAATACGGGCGGGGTGAAGGGCCTGCTGCTGACTCCAACACTGCCCAGCCCACCTTGTGGACACCTGGCTAAGGAACCCAAGGCTCAGAGAAGCCTGCTGAGACCTGAGATCCCTGTGGCTGCACCCGGCTGGTGGATGACAGGATAACCCCTGCTGCCCTGGGCTAGACCTCTCTGCCTGCCCAAGGCTAGCCCACTGCCCAAGGAATGCTGCCTGCCCGAGGCTAGCCTACTGCCCATGGAAGTCTGCTGGGTACCCTGAGCTGGGCTCCCTCCTGCCCTCAGGCTGTTGTTGCCTGTCTGTGTTCCTGCCCTTATGCTGGGCCTTCCTGACATTGCTTGGACAGGCCCCTGCCTCACCTGGGAGTGCAGGAAGGGTCTAATTCCTGGTCTTAGCACCTGAGACCCGAGCCTGCGCCCCAGGCCGGTCCCCGCACCTGTATCTCTTGTCGTCCAGGGGGATGAAGTCCATGAGCAGGGCGTAGTCAGCCAGGGAGTCCATACCCAGGATCTTCACCTGGAAGGGGGGAAACATCCTTCTGCAGGAGGGAGGTGCTCAGCAGCCGGATACGGCTCCAGCCCTGGCCCCTGCCCCGCCCCGCCCCTGCTGCTCACACCTGCCTGCCTTGGTAACGATCATCTCAGTTCCCAGCTGGTTGAATTCCTCCCACAGAGGCTTCATCTCCAACTGAACCGTCACACTGGACACACGTGGGTTCTTGGGGCCCTGCCCATTGGACTCGGCCACAGCTTGGGCCCCAGTAGAGCTGGTGCAAGGGCCTGATGGGAATGGCGACCCCAGCCAGGGCTCCCAGCCAGAGCTGGTTGTGGGTAGTGGGTAGGTCTCTGAGGGTGCAAGTATGCCGAAGCCAGCGGACAGGAAGGCTGCAGAGAGAGGACGGAAGCGTGGGCCTCATGCATCACCCGGCAAGCTCTCATCCTTCAGGCTGCACCTATATGCCTCTTCCTCCAGGAAGCCCTCCCTGACTGCCAGGGCTGTGTTCTCACAGGATCCCCCACTCAGCATCACTCTGTGAAGTAAATGCTCACTTAAAGTCTTTTTTGCCAGCGTGCTCCTTGAGGGTAGTGTCAGGGCCTGTCTTGCTCCCCAGAGAATGTTTGGGCCATCTTGTGTCTATGTGGCCTTAACAAATTGTTTCACCCCTGGAGCCTCAGTTTCCACATCTGTTGGAAGGGTTTCTTTATACCTGCCTCACAAGGCTGATGTGAGGATTAGTGACCACACGAAGGGGCTGGTGCACAAGGGGCCCTTCACGAACAGCATCTGTTCTAGATGATGTGTGTGTGTGTGTGGTGGAGGGAGGGGGCCGGGGTCTTCCCCAGCTCTGTGGGACCCTGCTTCCCGGTGCTGCTGAAGGAGAGCTGAGCCAAGAAGAGTCCCTCATTCAGCACCAATTACCCATCCCTGACCCTGACAACCCGCCCAGAACCTGCCTCCAGAAGCCCATCCTACTGTCTTTTTCTCTGGCCTCTGCACCCTTTTCTAAACATCTTGTCTTTTGATCTGCAATCCTGGCACAAGTCTTGGTCAAATGCTTTGCCACCCTTCACCCCTCCAATAAAAAAAAAAAAAAAAAACTTAGCTAAATAAGATACCATTTTACACCCATTAAGGTGGCTATTAGAAAAGAAACCAGAAAATAAAAAGTGTTGGTAAGGAGATGGAAAAATTAGAACTTCTTTTTATTTATTTATGTATTTATTTAAGGCAGGGTCTTACTCTGTTGCCCAGGCTGGAGTGCAGCAATGGCTCAGTCATAGCTCACTGCAGCCTCGACCTCCTGGCCTCAAGTAATCCTCCCATATCAGCCTTACAGGTAGCTGGGACTATAGCCACACACCACTATACACGGCTATTTTTAAATATTTATTTATTTATTTATTTATTTTTAGAAATAGGATCTCCCTACGTTGACCAGGCTGGTCTTGAACTCCTGAGCTCAAGTGATCCTCCCACCTCGGCCTCCTAAAGTGTTGGGATTACAGGCATGAGCCACTACGCCTGGCCTCAAGAAACTGGAACTCTTGTGCACTGCTGGTGAGAATGTAAAATGGTGCAGCTGCTGGGGAGAACAGCATGGTAGCTCCTCAAAAAATTAAAACTGGAATTACTAAACATATATATATTTGTTTTTTTCTTTTTGAGATGGAGTCTTGCTCTGTCACCCAGGCTGGAGTGCAGTGGCATGATCTCGGCTCACTGCAACCTCTGCCTCCCTGGTTCAAAAGATTCTCCTGCCTCAGCCTCCTGAGTAGCTGGGATTACAGGTGTGTACCATCATGCCTGGCTAGTTTTTGTATTTTCATTAGAGATGGGCTTTCACCATGTTGTCCAGGCTGGTCTCGATCTCCTGACCTCAGGTGATTTGCCCACCTCAGCCTCCCAAAGTGCTGGGGTTACAGGCGTGAGCCACCATGCGCAGCCTAGAATTACCATATGATCCAGCAATTCCACTTCTGGGTCTATACCAGAAAGAATTGAAAAAAGGAACTCAAACAGATATTTACACACCCATGTTCGTATCAGCATGATTCACAATAGCCAAGAAATGGAAGCAACCCAGTGTCCATTGGAGAATGGATGGATGAACAAAGTGGGGCCATCTGTGCAAGGGAATAGCATCCAGCCTGAACAGGGAAGAACATTCTGACACATGCTACAACATGGATGAGCCCTGAAGACACTGTTGTGTGAAATAAGCCAGACACCAAAGGACAAATACCATATGATTCTACTCATAGGTGGTACCTGGTGAGGCCAAATTCATAGAAACAGAAAGTAAAACGGTGGTTGCCAGGGGCTGGGAAGGAGGAAATGGAGAGTTGTTGTTTCATAAGGACAGAGTATCAGTTCTGCAAGATGCAAAAAGTTCTAGAGATGGATGCAAATGATGGTTGCACAACAACATTGTTAGAAATGCTTGTTTTCCGGTGCCGTAAAGAAATAGCACTTGGCCGGGCGCGGTGGCTCAAGCCTGTAATCCCAGCACTTTGGGAGGCTGAGACGGGCGGATCACAAGGTCAGGAGATCGAGACCATCCTGGCTAACACGGTGAAACCCCGTCTCTACTAAAAAATACAAAAAACTAGCCGGGCGAGGTGGCGGGCGCCTGTGGTCCCAGCTACTCCGGAGGCTGAGGCAGGAGAATGGCGTAAACCCGGGAGGCGGAGCTTGCAGTGAGCTGAGATCCGGCCACTGCACTCCAGCCTGGGCGACAGAGCCAGACTTAGTCTCAAAAAAAAAAAAAGAAAAAAAGAAATAGCACTTGAACGGCCAGGTGCGGTGGCTCACACCTGTAATCCCAGCACTCTGGGAGGTCGAGGCGGGTGGATCACAAGGTCAGGAGATCAAGACCATCCTGGCTAACACGCTTGAAACCCCGTCTCTACTAAAAATACAAAAAATGGCCGGGCGCGGTGGCTCAAGCCTGTAATCCCAGCACTTTGGGAGGCCGAGGCGGGCGGATCACAAGGTCAGGAGATCGAGACCACAGTGAAACCCCGTCTCTACTAAAAATACAAAAAATTAGCCGGGCGTGGTGGTGGGCACCTGTAGTCCCAGCTACTCAGGAGGCTGAGGCAGGAGAATGGCGGGAACCCGGGAGGCGGAGCTTGCAGTGAGCCGAGATCGCGCCACTGCACTCCAGCCTGGGCAACAGCATGAGACTCCGTCTCAAAAAAAAAAATAAATAAAATAAATAAAAAATAAAAAATAAAAATAAAAATACAAAAAATTAGCCAGGTGTGGTGGCGGGCGCCTGTAGTCCCAGCTACTTGGGAGGCTGAGGCAGGAGAATGGCGTGAACCCGGGAGGCAGAGCTTGCAGTGAGCTGAGATCACGCCATTGCACTCCAGCCTGGGCGGTAGAGCGAGACTCCATCTCAATAAAAAAGAAAAAGAAAAAGAAAAAAAAAAAGAAATAGCACTTGAACATAAATTTAATTTCCTCAGCAAGGTCATTTTTTAACTTTTTGCAGAAAGGGTACACTCGCCAGCAGTTTTGCCACGAGAGTGCACCGAACAAAGGAGACAGGGTCATTTACAACCTGACATGTGTCCGGTTCTCATTGGCTGGAATGGGACCTCACATTCTGTATTTGTCCTGATTGCCTAGTAACTTAGAACTTTTAAAAGAGGCAAAGTCAGAGGAGAACAAAGAAGGAGGGAAAACTTGTAGCATGCCAGGGCAAATATTTAGGCTAAATTGTGGGAGCTAAGAACATAAAGTATATTGATTTTTTTTTATTATGGCTAGCAGATATTTAAGAATGTTAGCATAGGTCTTTGAATACATTTTGTTTCGAAGAGAAGTTATTATTTATTCCTAATTATATGGGAGGAAAGTCTTTGAAGAGGAACAACTACTTGTACAATGTGAATGTAATTAATGTCACAAAACCGTGCATTTAAAAATGGTTAAGGTGGGCCGGGCGCGGTGGCTCATGCCTGTAATCCCAGCACTTTGGGAGGCCGAGGCGGGCGGGTCATTTGAGGTCAGGAGTTTGAGACCAGCCTGGCCAACATGGCAAACCCCATCTCTACTTAAAATATAAAAATTAGCCAGGAGTGCTGGCGGGCGCCTGTAATCCCAGCTACTCAGGGGGCTGAGACACAAGTCACTTGAACCCAAGGGGGTGGAGGTTGCAGTGAGCCAAGACTGCACCACTGCACTCCAGCCTGGGTGACAGAGCGAGACTGTGTCTTAAAAAAAAAAAAAAAAAAAAAAGGTTAAGATGGTAAATTTTGTTATGTATATTTTATAATTAAAATATTTTAAATGGAAAAAATTCTGAAAAACGAACTATTATTTTATTGCAGCCCCATAAGGGACTGAGGAGCTGGAGGGGCCATGGAAGCCACAGTGGCTGGGAGTCCGGGGACATGGTTTTATTCTCAGCTGTGTCCCCACCCGAGTGGCTTTGGGGCATTTACACGACTGTAAAACCGTGGGATGCCTGGAGCAGAGGGGGGATGCTAGGTGTTGCAGAGATGGATGAACTGGCAGACAGGCGGGTGGTGGAGGCTCCCAGGGTGGCATAGCATCTGCCGAGGTACCAGGTGGACGGCACCTGGCGAGGGTGAGCTCTTAGTATGTGCCTGGGGAGAGTGTGGAGCCCAGGGCCGTGGCTGCGTCCTCAGCAGCCCTGAGAGCTGCATGCGAAGCTCCTGGAATTTCTGCAGCCTCACAGAGGAGGGGGCGTCCTTGTGACAGCAATGGGTCACATCAGGTTTGAGGACCCTGGGCAGGATGGATAGATGGGCTGATGTCCCCCTGCCCCTGTGGCCAGTCCCTCAGAAGGGTAACTGCTTGTCACCCGGCTGCCCTGCTGGGGCAGGTACGTCATCCAGGCGATGCCAGTACCCCCTGCGTCCATGGCGATGGGTCCCAAGGGGAGGGGCTCATGACTTCGCTGGGCCTGGAGGCTTTGCCGGTCGTCACTGGCTCCCAAGTCCTCTACGGGCTCACCCGCTGCCCATCGCAGCCAATGTGCTGCCCCTCGACACTTTCAGGGACTCTGGGGAGGGAGCCTGTCCTCTGCTCAGTCCCTCTAGAAGCCAGCACTCCTTAGGGCCCAGAGATGACAGCTTGCCGGAAGCATCGAGTGTCAAGTCTGGAAGGGAAGCTAAGCCTTCTTGTCCAGCCCCCAACTTGCTGAAGGAGCTGGGGCTCAGGGAGAGGCCTGAGGTCACACGTGCGCAGTGAGGCGCTCATCTCCCGGAACAGCATGGTCCCTGGCCTCTCCCATCATTGCACTTGGGCAGCCATGAGCCCTGTCCCATGGGGATCTCAGACCTTAGCTTGGGGTGCCCCTGCCCCACCCTCTTGCACAGGGCCTGGGTTCAGCGGGGCTGCCTTGGTTCCCACCCTGCCCACCCACCCTGGAACCTGAGCCCGACCCATGAGCCCACCTCTGCTTCACGTAGCCTACCTGCCATGGAGACAGAGCGGCTGTCCGGCTCCTGGAGAAATACTGCTTGGCTGGAGCTGGGCTGTGGCTGCCACCCAAGGGGACCCTGCCTGCCGGGAGGAGTGGTCACCACTCGTCCACTCGGCACCTCAGCTCAGCCCTCAGGTGCTCACACAGGCTGTGGTCTCTCGGCAGGACTGTCCTTGCGTCTTCGATCGCCCTTCGTCCACGTCCCGAGGTCGTGGTCTTCCCACTTGAGCTGGACTCCTGGTCTCCGAAGGTGAGATGCAGACTCTGGGGCGTGCAGGGGCCCTTCTCCAAGCCACTCTCAGGCTGTGCTGTCCAAGGCTGTGCGGAAGGAGGGCAGGTGGGCAGGTTCTGACGTTGCAGAGCCCCCCCTTCCTCCCTCCTTGTCCTCCCTCTTCAGGCCCCTCCCTTCCCTAACTAAGAACCCCCCAGCTATTCCTGATCGATGGGCTCAGGCGTGGCAGGGGTGAGTGGGTGGGAGGGTGGTTCTTGAGGACGGCTGGGCATCTGCAGGGGTCCAGGCCTGGCTGACTGGAGGGGCTGGGCCCCAGGGGTTGGGAGGCACAGTGGGAGCAGCAGATTGAGGGCTGAATGGCGGAGGGGGTGCCCTCCCACCAAGACCCAGACCCCTGACCCGAGGCTGGCCCC